AAAGGAGAGTCCGGGATCGGAACTCTCGCCCGCAAACTGATGCCCAGGTGGACTGGACGCCACCTGATAACAGACAAACTGTCTCCAGTTGTCTACCAGATCAAAATCAGCAAAAGCAAAAAAAAAGCCAATGGTTAAATGGGTACATCGAAACCAGGTCAAACTACACAAAGTGTTCAATAACTCCACAGGAGACAAAGATCTCACAAACTCAGACCTCGTGGGAAAAAGGGTCGTCCAAGCAGAAACTAAATAAGTCTAAGCTTAATTAAGTGTTAAGATAACAACTCAGACGCGATAAAGTGATAGAATCTGACAATCAGAGTGAGTGACGCAGTGAAACGTTGTTTTCTAGTTGCTTAATCACTACTTTTGTCGATGTTGAAACGTTTTCTGGTTGCTTGATCACCACTGTTGTCGATGTTGAGACATTGTTTATTTGGTTTGGTATTGTTTCTGAACACCCCCAGCAAGAATAAATTTTGTGTGTACTTTAGTTAGAGACTATTGCCCCTTTTCCATTAGTACCGGTACGGGCCGACTGACCCTACTTGGCCCGGTTCTGAGGCTTTTCCATTAGTACCGGTACTTAGCACCTGTTACTATTTCCAGTACCCTTGGCTCTGTGGTTCTAACCGGTACGAAGAGGTACAAAAACGTGACGTCAGAACACTGTCGGTCACTGATTGGTCGGGGGCGGAGTCACTGGATCCTTCAGAAACTTTTCAAAACAATAATCCGCCATTTGCAATTTCTCGGACTGGAGCAGCGGCTGGATTTATTTTAAAGATTTTTAAAACAATACTGACAACATCTTGGTCTAATGTTGATGTGCTGGCATTTTTTGTGCTTGGTGGCCGACAACATAATTTAGAGCAAGCTGGATGGAGCTCTGCTGGTGTACCCCGATCCTCCCTCCAGAGTCTCGGAGCACCAGGCCGGGCAGAGCGTCATCTCCCCGGCTCCAAGTTCAGCTGGTCACCACGGAAGATCCTTCGATGTGCCTACTCGGAGGCTCGGGTTCCGGATACCAGCCTTGTGTGCTCAGAGCTCCGCTGGTCACTGCAAAGCTGGAGATGGGGACTCGCAGATGGACGTTGCCAGACCCCGGCCGCGCGTAATCATGAAGGCTGAATCCCGATCCCACCCGGCAGTCAGGCGGACGGTGGAAGCGATTTTTAAATAAAATAATATTTTGTTTTTATACAAAAAATGTTTTAAAAAATTGCTGAAGCGATTTAAAAATGATTATTATTTTTTTTACACGTAAAATGTTTTTTAAAATCGCTTCCACCGTTCGTCGCAGACCCGTCTCTGTCCGCCTGTCTGCGCGGGTCGAGCCTTCATGATTACGCGCGGCTAGAGTCTTGGAACAGCCTCTGTGAGTCACCAGCTGAGCTCGGAGCTGGGAAGATGAG